CAGTTTTCTGCAGAAGCAGCTTTGCCTTTCGATCATCCAGTAACGTTCAGAAAGTTCATGAGGATCCTTGTCAGTACAGGGCTTTATGAAGTAGGATTATCATTCCAGAGCACACTGGAAAAACCTTCCCCTGTTATCAAAAAGCAGCTTCCTTAATAAGCTATCAAAATTATTGTACCTCATCACATGCTGTCCTCTGTGGGTGGGCTATTATGTTTGGCAAAGATATGTGGCATAACACACTTGTTTGAAGAAACCTTTCCTTCTCTGGAAGAAACATGTAATCTCAGTACAGCACTGTGGAAAATTGTGCAGAGGTTGTATTGTTTGAATATTCTGGCACAGGACTTCCCTATTTAAGAGATTCCTACATCTCCATGTACCATCTTTGTGTGACTAGCGTTCGTTGGTCATGACAAATTGGACGTTCTTCCTGTAACTTTGTCTTAACCATGAGCTAAACTGGAACAATGGTGCATTATGCATTCTTTTAGCCTTGGTTCCTTTAAGAAGTCCTTAGAGCTGGAAATAATACAATGATCCAAACACGTGTTAATATGTATATACCTTTAGTCAAGATCCAGACTGGCTTGTTCTTGTTTTCACTTTCTCATTTGTACAGGCAGAATGAATAGAGGGAAAGTGCGTACGGCCGGCCTGGGGAGTAAAAGTAGGACCGGCTTCTTGGGCATGTGACCTGTGAGGTCATACAAGGTACCAGGCTCAGAAGGGCCCAGCATGTAGTTTCATGCTCTGATGTTACCATCTTTAAATTTTGAATACTTTTTGAGCAAAGCTCCCCACGTTTTCATTGTGTCCTGGGCCCCACAAATTATGTAGCAGGTCCTGCTTTGAGGCCATTATTGTCTTATTAACTGTTGGAAGTTCCTAGATGTTGACCGAAAGAAAATGAGACGAGGTGCAGTGTTCAGTGACAGGCAGCACATGTTAAAGAAATAACTAGAACCTCTGTGTGTTTATGTTATTGTTTTAATATTGGTCTTTGTATAGGGTAGATTTCTGTTTTATGTAAAAACTTTCTCCTCTTAAATTCCTGTTTACAAGTCCAGAAAACATTCTTTGGGTGTGGAAAGGACTAGGGAGTGGATCTGGGGAAATGTGAGAGCTCCTTATTATTTTGCGTCATGAGCAGCTTTGGCTGGCAAATCTGGCTCTGTTGCTCAAATTCCAGTGTCAGGACTTTCTGTGGCTCCTTTCCAAATGGAGTCAGTCCTAGGCAGGTGCTTGCTCTTGTGATTATTATGATTGTCTAAGTTTTGACAGAGCTCACCTCCTTCGCATCTCTGTTCAAATGGCACCCTTCTGTGACACCCACCCTGACCACCCTGACTCTACCACAAATTGCAACCCACTTCCACCCCACTCCTCACACTCCTGATTCCCCTTGTTTCACACCTTTTCATTTTATTGCATAAGGCTTTGCACATAGTAGGTGCCAATAAGCATTAATTAAATAAAGAAATGAGAGAATGAGTTGATAACACACATTCCTACCAGTTAACGATCAGCCTTGATGAGAATAAAAATGTCAGCTTTATTCTTACCCCTTTTCTCCCAGCTGGCTCTGTTCTCTGAAAATCGATTCTCGTTCTCAGAATCTTCTGACCTCCCTCCCCTTCCCCAAACAGTGCTATGCTTGTGAGTCTGATCTCTAGCCAGCTTAAGATCTAGGGGTTTTCCAGTCTGAATTGCTGCATATTATTTCATATTAGTATTTTCTAATGTCACAGTAGAAATGAAGATAAGACAATGTGTTCCTTGTGCAGGAGGATGCCAAGAGCATACGGAATACTACTAATGCTTAGGGGACCTTTCTGTTTGTGAGGGGAATTCACCTGCTCCTTTTCCTTGTTCTTTAGTGTGGGCCATGTTTCCTTCTGTGTAACTTTGTAGGGATAAGTCGGACAGCCCTCATCTCACTCTTCCTGAGAATGCTGGAGACACTGGTGTAGTCAGTTCCAGTAATATCAAAAGTGAATTTCAAATTACTAATCTACCTCAATAGCTCTCCTTTTGTATAAAACCCAACTATCTGTTAAAATATGTACTAACTTGAAAAGAGCCCCAAGAGACTTTTTAATCAGTTTGAAGCAGCCCTGCTTTTGAGTTATAGGTGAAAACTGAACTCTTTGGCTAAGAGGTACTTTGACCACTAATTTAGTAACAGAAGAGTTGGCACATGGATAAAGTAATGAAGGAGGAACATGAGAGTAAGTATGCAAAACAATTCATATTTGGTACACCCAAACTGAAATGCCTTCTAAACAATTGTTTCTGTGTACTTACATAATTTCATCTTCATTCTCTTTGAGAAGACTTCTGACTAATCTAAAATTCAATTTAATGATATGAGGAATGAATAACACCATTACAATAATTTACTTTTAGTTTGAGAGCCTAAGTGCCACATTCCATCTACTTGCTGTGTTTAATCCTTTTTTTTTTTTTTTTGAGGAACAAGAAGACTGGCATTTGGTCTGTCAAGTTATAGGCATATACATTTGTGTTTTCAATTCCTTGCAGTGGAAATAATGATATTTCGGATTCTCAAAACCAGGTAGAATAAATTCAACAGTGAAGATTATTTCATTTCACAGCCAGGAATTGGAAGAATAAATTTTAATACAAAACTCAGGTTGATTTTAGACTATAAAAAGTTATTTTTATTTTTTTCCCTAACAAACTGAAGTCTGAGAATTGCTATGTTTGGGAACATTGAGCAATTGTTTTATGATTTTGTTCTTGAAGTATGTATATAAAGTTTGTTTCAGTGTAGGGAAATAGGAGGAAAACAGATAAAATGAGAAGATTGTCCCTGTGTTTTAGCCTAGGTCAGAGATTTTGAAGATTTTAAGCACTTCCACAAGTGAAATAATCCCTGCAAACTCTCTGGATACCGTGTGTTTTCATTTTTGAAGGGGGAAGGGGAGTAGCTGAGGTGGCTTCCTGGGTAAGGCAAGGGTGGAGAAAACTGGCATTTCTAGGGTGTCCAGGAGGGAGATGAGTGGATGTGTTGTTTCCATGGAGACACCACTGCTCCATTTTTCCTCTAGGTGGTGACAAATGTGACTGGACTTAGCCTGGTGACTGGACTTAGCTAGTGGAAATTTGTTCCTATAAACTTCCCAATTTCCCCGCCCCCTACAACCTTTACACAAACAGTACTTCCAAGATAGAATTACTTTGTGATCTTACTTTGGAGATTTGCTTAATTCTTTCTAAGGGGATATGTTTAGGCTAATAGAATAGTTCAAAAATTCATATTTTTTTAATCATTAAAAAAGCACATGCCCGTATATTTAAGAGCTTACTCTCTTATATGCTTGTAAGGCATAGTGACCCTCGCTCTAATATCTCTATTTGCATTTGGAACCCTTAGTGAAAACTCTTGGTCTCCCTGGAACTGTATGCAGCCATACCTTTACAACATGTGCTGCTTCAGGAAGAGTTATAAGGGGCACTGGAGGTGACAAGGGCTTAAGCTAGGGTGTGATTTCCCCCCCCCCAAAAAAAAAGTGGAACAAGGGGCTTGTGTATTTCATTGTATACACTGTTAATTTAGTTAGTTAAAAGATAGAAGCGTCAGAAAAAGCAGAGCTTGTGCCCACACAACTCACACAGCCTAATAAAGTAACCTTTAGACAACAGCTGTAATGCAAAAAGCCCACGCTGAAAACAACAGAGCAGAGCCGAGTTCCTGTCCCTTAACGCAGGACAGCTGAACCGGTGGCTGAGTTTAACAACAAAAAAGAACAACACAAAACAAACAACAATCCAAAGTTTTCTGAAGGAAGGAAAATGTACTAATTAGGAGTTAGACATTTCAAAAGCATTGTCCTATGGAAGAGTGCCCACCTTATCTGTGGGCTTCTGGCTACTTACCACTGGCTGCGAAAATATTTCAACTTGCTGAATTCTTTCTGGGTGGAACTGAGAAACTATCCATTTAATAAAAGTCCTAAATTGGGATTAGCATTATTACTTATGACATGGGAATTTGAAAAGAAAAATATCCTCCTACCCACCCTGATTTAGCATCAGTTTTTAAAAAGTAATCAATTCTTCCTGACAACTGATTTCAGCAACAGAAAATGCTGAGAAATTTGGATGTCGATTTCCAAAGTTTCTTTTCTTTAAAAAAAAAAAAAATCAAAAGTGGTAGCTAATGACAAATGATTGTGTCAGTTTTCCAGGTTCCTGCCAAATAGAGGATTTTATAAAATTAAATTTACAAAGCTGGATCATTTAAAGAAAGTAATCCATTTCTTGCTTTGATTCTTTCCCAGGACAAACATAAAAAAATGCATTGTTTTCTTTCCCGGTATTAATGAAATATTTTCCAAATCTATTGCAGTGCATGCATTGCATTCCTTTTTCAGGATCTTATTCAGTTTGTGACTCTGCTGGAAACTGATATCTTAGAATTAATCTGATACGTGCTTTTACCCCCTTTTCTCTTGTTTAATGCTTAGCTTAAGTACAACAACATTCATTTTCATTTTGTTAGGCTTTCTGGAACATACTAACACACCAGAAATAAAAAAGCTTCAAGTCTTTTGTTTTATTTCTTTTTCTCTCCCTGTTTTAAAAGATTTTAACTTTTTGGTGTATTAATTGTTTAAAAAGTTTCCAAGTTGGGGATCTGTTTTTGATCTAATATTTGTCAAGTATACATTTAAGGAAAAACTGTGTTTCTAAGGCACATAGAAGCTTAACCAAACTGCCTTAAAAACTTCTGATTGCTGTTTTAAACGTAGGCAGAGTTTTTGCAAAAATCAAAAACATTTACTCTGTTCTTAGGGTCGGAAGCCCAAGAGTTACAGAGGGCGACAGGGGTTAAGAGAGTGGCAGAGACGTGTCCATGAAGGATGACAGTTCTGTTTTTCCACTTCCAGGGGCTCAGCGGCAGAGGCAGCCAGCAACGTGTCTGCCGTTCCTGTAAGCAACCACCTCCGTGAGTTATAACGATGCAGACTTACTGTGATGGCCTGAAGTCTTTCCTTCACCAGCTCAGCTTCTTCCATTCTAGAAGGCAAGGACAGGCAGGCGGTGGAGGAAGTCCAAAGCTACCATAAAGCTGGAGCCTCCTTGGGGAGAGCAGAGGAGGTAACAGAGGAGACGCAGGGAAAAATCCACTCTTAGCACTGGTGGAGAAAAGCAGAAATCCCCGACTGGGCAGGAGTGTCTCCGAGCAGATGTACAGATCAGGCCAGACAGACACATGTGATGAGGGTGTGCTGGGCAGGCAGACGCTGAGGCTGCTGGCACCAGTTGACTGACAAGTTTGAACGGCAGCGCACAAGCCCTTTTCCTTCAGGAGCTGCCAGCTCTTTGTTGTAATGTGCACAGTTAGCAAGGCACAGTTTCTTATTAACCGTTCCTTACCCAATTCATTATTTTCCAGAAGTGGCACTGCGAGCCCATGCACTGAGTGTTGAATCAGCCTCTGCTCTAGCGGCACACAGCCGTGCCTGTTGTGAGGGTCTGGGAGTGTTTGTCTAAAGTTAGTTTACCTGCGCTTTCCTCCTGACTTGACAAAGACAGAGCCTCACCTGGACAGGGCCAAGTCGCTTGCTTGCCTTCCTTCCTCTGATTGGCTTTAGATAATAGTAAAAATTATATAGTGACTTTAGAACTTAATATAGTGAATTTATATCAGGCTGTCCTCCCCTTTCCTTTCCTCCTCCTCCCATTTCAGCCGTTTGTTTCAAACTTTGGAATCTTTAGGTCATGGAGAAATCAAAGGTGTTAACATGACTCTGTTGAGAACTTGGCCCACCAGCAGTGTTCGGTTGGTTCAGACTCAAGTACCACCCTCTTATTTCTTGTCTTGGATTTCTATGGAATGCAGTTCTTTCTTGGACCTTGTTCAGAAGTGACACTTGGCTTTCAGGAAGGTGCCCATTTTGACCTCACCAGTTATGCAAGAGAAAGGAGTGAGCCCTGGAAAGTGTGTTGAGACATTCTGGAACTCATGAAACCTGACACTATGTGGGTATTCCCTTGCCCTTTAGAAAAAGGAAGTCAAGCCCAATGAAACTCTTAGTTCAGAGTAAAGGCGGAGAAGCTTTGCAATGTACTTTGTTTTTTCTCCCCTACCATTTCTTTAATTAAATTTTGATGTAGTAAACCCTAATTATCATCTACCTCATTATTACGTGTTTGAATGCTATCAAGCACCTTCATATCAACATTCAGCTGAAGAGGTTAAAAGGACAACCTTAACGTTGAATGTGCAGTTTAATTTCCTTTGCACTGTTGATATCAGTGGTAATAATAATAGCTAATGTTTGTTGAGTACTCTCTGTAGGCAAATGCTTTGCATCCTATTTATCTTACAATGTGCTGGGAGATAGGTGCTATTAGCCCTATTTTAAAAATGAGAAAACAGCCTCAGAGAGGCAATTTGCCCTGAGCTAATAAGTCACCAGGCCAGGATTGGCACCTGGACTGTCTGTCTTTATAATAGCTATTCCTCAGGCCTGCCCAAAAAGACAGGGCAAGGCGAGACTGAAGGTTAAATCAGTCTTTATGAGAAAAAGTTGAACCCCCAGCCTCTTCCTCCATCTTACTCCCAGACCACTCACAGCTGGATGCAAACCCTTCAGGCAACTCTGTGGGAATCCCCACTGGGTAAACTTAGTGGCCCTCCTGAGAAAAGGTTTCTCCATATCGTCATTTGGAGCGTCCTAACTATAGAACCCTAAGATGAAACCCACCAGTTTCAAGTCTGAATTCATACTTGAGAGCAGATTGTCCTTAATCATGCATCCTCAAAAGACATTTAGGGAGACCAGAGCATAGAAGAATTGGTTAGGTGTGGGCCAAGTTTGACTTCTATTGGATGGATACTTAAGCTTAAAAAAAAATTAAAAAAAACAACCTTCAAAACTTTTGATTTTGTTTATCTGCAGATTCTAGCTGAAATCAAAGATGAAAGAGCAGTAGTGATAAATATCTCAGTCAGAATTGCATATTTGCTGCCCAGAACAAGTGGGCCATCATCTAATGATTAGTCTGGATCTTTTCCTAAAAATAATTTACCTTTCAAACCTCATTTCTGCTGTGGGAAAACCCAAGGGTTTTTTAGTGAAGGGGAGGATTAGATAAAATAAGAGGATCAGGGAATTTAGGAGGGAGCAGGGTTATAAAGACAGATTGGTATCATGTGTTTATTCATTCATTTAGTTGCTAATGCTAATAATTGCTAATATTTTTAACCGTTTGTTATTCATTTATTCTGTATATACTTATTGAGCACCCATAATGTGACAGGCACTGTGCTAGGTGTTTGGGATACATGGATAAACAAAATATCTGCTCTGCTGGAATTTATATTCTAGTAGGCAAAAAATAAATAAATAAATATAATAAGCAAGTAAAATATAGGAGGTGAGCAGATGATTGTGTTAGCCTGAGTCCTATAACAAACAAATGCCAAGATGGGTTAAATGTGTTGGATTATATTAGGAGAATGAATGTATGAGAGAAAATGGGAAAGTGGGAGAAAAGGCTGGAGCTGGGAAAGTCTGGGAGAGTGGTCAGATCATGGTGCAAGTCTGACCTGAGTGAAGGAAAGAGGGAGCCAAAGTTGGGTGGAAACAGCCTAATCTGCAGTGCAGTCTAAGGAAAATTGGTAAGTCCATCAGAGAGCCCCAGAGCCACAAAGTCAGCTACCAGAGAAGTCCTGTGTCTCCCAGGAACAAGCTTGTTTTAGCATTACTAAAGCTTGTTTTAGCATCCTGCTATACTTAACTACTAGCTGGGAGTAGCCCCTGAGAGGCAGGGTCTTGTTGCAAATACAGGGATGAATTTCAGAGTACAACAGCTGGGACCCTTACTCAGCTATGCTCCTCAGTAGTTAGATGTCTGAGAAGCACATTCTCATGACAGCCATAGTGATAAATGCTATGGGAAGAAAATAGAGCAAGGGAGAATAAATATTGCTAATGGGTGGCACGTTGCAATTTAGAATGGGGCTATTAGGTAGCCTCAATGAGAAGGGAGCATTTGAACAAGGCCTTGAAGGAGGGGTCGGAGCTAGTCATGAGGATATCAATGGGAAAAGTCTGTGCAAAGGCCCTCGGGTAGACTATATCTGGCCTGTTTTAGGAGCAAGGTCAGTGTGGCTAGATGGGGGGGAGGTGGTGTGGTTAGACAGGATTGGGGGGGGAACGGAAGAGAAGGGTAACAGGAGATGTGGTTGGAAAGGTGAGAGGTCCCCATCCATGCAGGGTCTTGTGGGCCATTGTAAGGAATTTCACTTTTACTTTGGCTTTTACTCCATGTGGGGTAAGAAGCCATTGAGATGTTTTGAGCAGAGAAGTGACATGACCTAACATGTGTTGCAAGGATAGAAACAGAAAGACTAGGTAGGATACTATTGCAGTAATATAGTTGAGAAATGATGGTAGCTTGAGCCAAGGTGGTAGCAATGAAGACAGTGGGAATCAATTGAACTGTGGATAAAATCTGAAATTGAACCAACAGGATTCCCTGAAATTGGATACAGGATTCGAGGGAAAGAGAGGATTCATGATGAGAGGATTCATGATAATTTTAAGACTCTTGAGGATCAAGCAAATGGAAGTTGTCATCAAGATAGAGAAATTGGTGAAATAGTTTTTGTTTTTGCTTTTGTTTGAGGGAGAGGGTAGATACCAAGAGCTCAGTTTTGGATAAGTCACATGGAGATGTTGAGTAGACATTGAATATATGTGTTTGGAGTTCAGGAAAGAAGTCTCATCTGGATTTATAAAATTTATTGTATCTCTGGTAGTAAGCAGGATCACAAAATGTCTAAAATTATAGTTCACAAAGCAGCATAATAGAGTGAACTAGTGTTCATTAAATGTTAAATATAGTATATTCATGACCAAATTCAGTCTTTGTAAAATAGATATACAATAGAGCTTATCTACTCTCAATGATCTTGTTAAACTAATTTTACTAAATATTTTGTTGTTTGCGAACCAATGTAATGAGGATAGCCAGAGTTAGAAGTTAAAATCTGACCTTATATTAGGAGTTAAGAGGTGTAAGCTTCGGAGACAGTGTCTTTTCTTAAAATGCATATGCTATCTGGTTGGAGAGGGAAGACATATGCTCGAAAGAATTAGAGGCCAAAAGAATAGTAAACCAACTGTCATTGCATTCTGATAAAACAAAGTGCTAACTATTGCATTATTTGAGACCAGGAAAGTATAGCATCATGAGTAACAGCAGTGTGTGCCACAAGCAGAAAGTGCAAAATAAGTTGAAAGAGATAGAGATTTTTGAATTGAGTTGCAGAAAAGCTACTGCAGGGAGAAAGCCGACCTTAGAAGCAGAGAATTCATTTCTAATGTGAGAGATGTCAGAGGACCAGAAAGGAGCGCATTCTCCTTGGGGCAGAGAGGAGAATTAGACAAAAAGAGTGATATAAATATATATCCATACATAGAATTTGATGTGCAAGGCCAGTGGATTAGGGGAGTGAGAGATGAAAAATCAAACTCATGTTTCAGGAGCATAAAACCGTCAACTCTTCTGAACATATAGGGAAGATTAGGAAGGTAGGGAATATGAAATGGGAGTGCCTGTGGATAGAGTCTGAAAAATCGCCAGTGTTGTGTAAAAGGAAAGGTTCCCAGGCTTCTTCCTAACCTTTAAAAGGTCTGGACCCAGAGAGGTCAAGAAGCAAAAAAGTGGGTGCTCACTCTCTTTCTGAGTCTTCTTTCTCTCGCCCCACTCCCCCCTCCCCCAACCTTCTCTCTTTATGACTTCTCAGACATCTAGAGGCCAAAAGTGGCCTCTTCTCATATTATATCTCTCATATTATATCTCTGAAAGAGTCATTTAAAATTTCCTGACCCTCAGGTTTGTTATACACGATCCATTCCACCTCTATGCTTCCCACTCTTGACTCTTACTCTCCCACATCACTGGGCAGTGTGACTTTCTTCACATCCTTTCTTTCTTCAGTCGGCCTCTGGATGGGATCTAATTGCTATATGCAAGCAACAAATAAGTATTTGAATAGGGCAACCACATTAATTACAAGAGATTTCTGATACTACTTTATTTTCGTTCTCGGGTACTCTATATAGCTGGGTTGACATATACCCATTTCTTTGTTAGGTAATTTGACTTTTATGGTTTAGAGAACACATAGACAACATGCAGTAGGCTTCAAGACAGTCTATAGTGCAGACGCTCATTTTACTTGAACTCTCCATGGCATTGGGCAGTTGACCTCTCCTTTCATCTTTTTTCACCTGGCCTCCAGGGCTCCTCACTCCCAATTTTACTCCTACTTCACTGGTATCTCCTTCTTAGCCTTTTTGCTGGTTCCTTTTCTTTTACTCACCCTCTTAAAGTTGGAGTACAGAAAGGCTCAGTTGTCGGTGCTCTTTTCTTCTCTGTTTCCCTCACTCCCCAGGGATCTCACTTTGTCTCATCCCAATGACATCTATATGCTGAGACTCTGAATTTATTTATGTCTCCAGGTTTGACTTCTCTTCTGCCCTAGGGTTTTAGGCTGTTACCTCTGCCTGGAACTCACTCGCCCCAGATGTCTGTATAGCTCGTTCAGGTCTTTGCCAATGAACCCCACCTTGACCACACTATAGAAAACCACAGACCTCTCTCTCTGATTCTACCAATCCCCCTCACCTCACTCTATTTTTTGCCATAGCCCTTACCATCTTTTATAATACTGTATAATGCACTCTTTTGTTTGTTTATTGTCTATCTTCTTTCACTAGAGTACAAGTTCCATGTAGTGAAGTGTTTTCTTTGTTTTCTAAGTGATTAGAACAGTCCTGGTACCTAGTAGATACTCAATAAATAATTGTTGACTAA